ATAACTTCACTTAACAGCAAAAATTTCCACATGCATGTTTTTAGATGCAAGCATACTACATTTCAACATCTTACCATCACAGCACCTGAAGAGAGCAGAAACACAGATGGAATCCATATCGGGGCTTCGACTGGTATCAACATTACTCATGCAAAGATTAGAACTGGAGATGACTGTGTTTCTATTGGTGATGACTCCCACCAAATCACAGTGACTGATGTTACTTGTGGGCCAGGCCATGGCATAAGCATTGGAAGCCTTGGAAGATATAAGGAAGAAAAGGCTGTGACCGGGATCATAGTTAAGAACTGCACCCTGACTAATACGCAGAACGGTGTGAGAATCAAAACATGGCCAGATTCTCCTTCTAGCAGTACTGCCTCAGATATACACTATGAGAATATTATCATGGTTAATGTCAGTAACCCTATCCTCATAGACCAATTGTACTGCCCATATACTCGGTGTGACCAAAAGCCTCCGTCAAAAGTTAAGATCAACAATGTCAGCTTCAAGAACATTAAGGGCTCATCTTTCACTCCACTTGCAGTCAAGCTTGTATGTAGCAGGGGCCTACCATGTGAGAATGTGAAGTTGACTGACATTGATCTCACCTACGGTGGAGACCAAGGCCCTCTTACCTCTCTGTGTTCTAATGTCAAGCCCACAATTACTGGCATGAAAAAGGCTCTTGCTTGTGCTACATCGTCCTTGGCACCTCTTCCTTTATCCAAGAAGTAGAAAGTACTAATTAATGTTCTCTATACATAAATTTATGTGTTCTACTTTGCTTTTGTGCTACATGTTCTCTCCTTTGTATCAAGATAAATAAATAACATGTATACCATGTACAAAGGAGAGAAGCATTAATCCGGAGCAATTAACATGGAATAATGCGTCATATTTCAATTCATGTGATGTAAAAAGATAACTCGATCGTACAAGGACAGAGAATTAACAGACTACAATCAGAAAACCAGAAATGTACAATCTTGACCTAAATATTCAAGCAAGCATGCACAAGAAACTACCATTACTAGAGACTAAGAATCCACATATGAATTACATCTCAAATAGAAGTAACAGGAATGGCATTACAGATTCTCTGGGTTTCAAATCCCAAACTCAACTACCCAGAAATGAAGCACAGAAACAAAGCAGCCATGGCGAACAACAATACCATGCTTAACCAAGAAACAGATACAAAATCCTTAACCACAGACAGAGAAACGATACAAGAGAACCACACCGCACTTGAATACTTGATAGTTAATACAGAAACCGGATAATGGAAATAAAGCAATATTACATACATGATACAACCCTGGGATTTCAGTTGGGTCAAAAATTACAACATCTTAGATTCTTAACATTGGGATTTCTAAGCAGCTCGATTTTTTTTTTCTTTCTATTGAAGGGGAGAGAGCCCTCCATTGATGTTGATTTGGTTCGTTGTTTGGATCCTAATTCAATTTGCTGTTATGTCACTTTTGGGTTGTATGTTTGCTATACTAATCGATATATATATATATATATTCTAAGAATTTTTTTGTGCTGCAGTTGGCTAAGTGGGCATGGCAAATTGGCAAGTTAAATGACCTTGTTGAATTCTTTCTGTGATTAGTTGGGGAACTGTGTATATAGGTAGTCAGTTTCTAAGTGTTTTATTATTTTTATGATTGAAGTGCTTCATGTTCATGTACCAAGTTACATATATTTGGTGTTGTGTGCATAGAATGTGGTATCAGAGGAAGGTGCTTATATATGTTGAATCATGGATAGTTGAAAGGAAGGTGCTTGTGCAGGTATATGACCTATAAGGTCATATACAATTATAAAAGATTTCACTTTGCTCCTGCTCTCGTTTATTGCAGAATGTAAGACTTCCCATTTTATCTTAAATAATTTTCATTATTGTGGTCATTTTATCTCACTCCAAGCCAATTGAGTGAGAGTTGGTTTGTTTGCAGGCTAAATTGGTACTACAGCAACTTCAGTGTATTTGCAAGAGACCAACAGCGTACATTTAATCTCAACCAGTGGAAGGTTGTGAAAGAATGAACAGGAACAAATAAACTCAACCCACAATTGATAGGTGAGCAGTTCATGTGTTTATATAGAACTCATGTATAGAGGGTTAATAAGTTTACATGGAGACAAACTCTTTACAAGATAATTATCAATAAGGTATTTATCATATACAAGATAATTATAACCTATAAAAGTAAACACAAATAAGGCCGGCTTAGCAGCAGGAGATCACGTCAAGTCTGGATAAGGTTCATCATGCCCCGCAAGCTGAGCGGGCGACAAAAAAGGGGAAGCTTGGAGAGTAAGTAACGAAACCGAAGAGTGGAACCTTGGTGAGAAGATCAGCAAGCTGATCCTTAGAGGAAATGTAATCAACCTCCAGCTCCTTGTGAATAACTTTCTCCCGAACACAGTGATAATCAACCTCAATATAACGAGTGTGGGACTGAAATATCGGATTAGAAGTAAGAGAGATTGCACTGACATTATCACACCAAATATGTGGAGGAGTGAGGGGAAGATAGAGATCATGAAACAATGAACGTACCAAGGACAAGGCAACAGCAGTATTGTGAACAATTCAAGCAGAAGTAGAGAATGCCAATATATTCACAAAACAATAAAAAATACAGCAGCTGTAAGCTTACAATATATAGGCATATAAAGATGCCCTAGATAAGTAAAAGACCTAACTACCCTCAAATATATATAAATATTGGCTATACAATTGTCACACCCCCTGTCAAACTCACGATGTTACAGTATTAAGCATCGAGAGTTTGCTAAGAAGAAAGCGGAAGCGAGCAAGAGTGTGAGACTTGGTGAAGAACTCGGCCAATTGCATGGTGGAGGAGACAAAAGGAAGAGAGATAGTGCCTTGCTGGAAATGATGGCAAACAAAGTGACAGTCCAACTCGATGTGCTTTGTTCGCTCATGAAAGACAGAGTTGTGAGCAATTTGAATGGCACTTTTATTATCACAATACAAAGGAGTAGGCACAGAGAGAGAAACACCCATATCTTGAAGCAACCACCGAAGCCAAACAATTTCAGCAGCAGTAGAGGCCATAGCACGATACTCAGCCTTAGCAGAAGAACGAGAAACAACTTATTGTTTCTTACTCTTCCAGGAGATAAGAGAATCACCAAGAAAAATGCAATAACCAGTAGTAGATTTCCGATCAAAAGGATCGCTAGCCCAACTAGCATCAGAAAAGGCTCGAAGCTCCAAAGTGGAGGTGGAAGGAAGCAATAAGCTTTGAAACAATGTCCCTCGAAGATAGCGTAAAATACGAATCACAGCAGCCCAGTGAAGAGTAGTGGGAGAAGAGACAAACTGACTAACAATATGAACAGCATAGGCAATATCAGGGCGAGTAATAGTGAGATAAACCAAGCTCCCAACAATAGTGCGATAAAGAGTAGGATCATCCAAAGGGGTACCATCAGATGGAGAATAATGCACATTGAGCACAAGAGGCGTATCAGCCACTCTAGTATCTATAATACGAGCTTTTTGAAGAACGTCAGCGGCATACTTAGACTGAGAAAGGAGATAACCTTTAGGGGAAGATGCAACTTCAATGCCAAGGAAATAACGTAAGGGACCTAAATCCTTCATCTCAAATCGATCATGTAAAGCCAATTTTAATTGGGTGATACCATCCAAATCATCACCCATAAGAATCATGTCATCAACATAAAGTAGGAGAAGGATACGACCAACAGAGGTAGAATGAACAAACAAGGCAGGATCATGAGCACTTGATTGAAAACCAAGAGAACCAATAACAGCAGAGAATTTCTCAAACCAAGCACGACGAGCTTGTTTAAGACCATACAAAGCTTTTCGTAAACGACATACCTCCCCGGGATTATGAAGAACACCTGGAGAGGGAACCATATACACCTCTTCGAAAAGATCCCCATTCAAAAAAGCATTTTTAACATCCATCTGTGATAAACTCCATTGATGAACTGAGGCAACAGCAAGTAAAGTACGAACAGAAGTCATCTTGGCCACTGGAGCAAAGGTCTCTTCATAATCAAGGCCATATTCCTGTGTAAATCCCTTAGCAACCATATGAGCCTTATATCTCTCAAGAGAACCATCATACTTAGTCTTAATTTTATAAACCCATCGACATCCAACTGCATGTTTACCGGGAGGAAGAGGAACCAAATCCCATGTGCCAGTTTTACGAAGAGCACAAAGTTCTTCATTCATAGCCTGTTGCCAAAGAGGATTACATATAGCCTCCTTGTAGGAGGTGGGTTCAGAGAGTATGTATAGAAGATAAGAAAGAAGAGAAATTATGAGAATAACAAGAATAACTAAAATCAGTAGAAGAATAACCAAACCGATGAGGGGGCTTATGAGTGCGCGAAGGATAACGAGGTGCTATTGGATCCACATCCACAGAAGTTGAAGCAGGCATCAAAGGAGAAGAAGGATTATTAGTGTCAGAACTGATGATATGTTTCCTACGAGAATACACTTGAGTAATAGGAGGAGAAGTAACACAAGGATTAGAAGGGGAACTAGAAACAGGAGAAATGTTAACATTGTTAGAATAAGAGAAATCATCATTAGTAGGTGAAAAAGGATCGATATACATGAGCTCATAATTCGATAAAGTAGGAGAACTAGTAGGAATGGAGACAAAAGGAATATGCTCAAGAAAAACCACATGACGAGAGACATAAAATTTTTGTGCACTAGGATCATAACAACGATAACCTTTTTGTCCTTCGCCATAACCAAGAAAAACACACATAGCAGAGCGAGCAGATAATTTTGTATGTTCAACAAGAGGACGAAGAACAAAACAAGCACAACCAAACACTTTCAATGAGAAATAATCAGGACTGTTACCATACAATCTTTCAAACGGAGATATGCTAGAGGTGAGAGATGTGGGAATACGATTAATACTGGAGTGTGAAACACCTCGCTGTTTCTTAGAGCTCTAGGAAACAAGATTATCACAAAGATAGGCATAATACCCTCCAGTAGAGTGACGATCATCAGGATCACTGGCATAATCAGCATCAGCATATGCAGTAAGACTTAACGAACTAGGCTTATATACAAGGCCATCATCAGAGGTAGACTTCAGATAACGAAGAATCTATTTGACAGCAACCAAATGAGTCCTCGCGGGCTTGTGCATAAATTGGCAGACTTGATTAACAAAAAAGGCAATGTTTGGACTTGTGAACGTAAGATATTGAAGAGCCCCAACCACACTATGATACTCGAAAACATCATATAACGGGTCACCATTATGCTTAACCGACAGCCACCAACAGCAGGAGTTGGCAATGGTTTGCAGTCTAACATCTTTGTGCGTGTCAATAGATCCAGGATCTATTTGGATTGAGATAAATGCAGGCCGGTGGAGGTCCATACCGCTTCCATGCCCAAGAAGTAATGCAAGGGACCAAGATCTTTCGTAGAAAATTAACGGCTCAAATCGAGAATTAGCTGAGTAATGAGACCCAATATTCCCTGTAACTAAAATGTCATCAACATAAATCAATAAGTAGATAGTAGTAGACCCATGAAAGTACATGAATAATGAGGTTTCAGTCTTGGAAGCAACAAATCCCAAATGCTCAAGATGAGTAGAAAAACACTGAAACCAAGCCTGCATAGCCTATTTAAGGTCATATAAAGAACGATTGAGCTTACAAACATGTGTAGGATATTGAGAATCAAGAAACCCAACAGGTTGCTACATGTAGACTTTTTCAGTGAGGGAGCCATGGAGAAATCATTTTGGACATCGAGCTAGCGAATGGGCCACCCAAACTGAACGGCGATGGCTAAGATAAGACAAATGGTGGAGTGATTGACCACAAGGCTAAAAGTCTCAGCATAATCCAAACCCTTCTGTTGATGAAAACCATTGGCCACCAAACAGGCTTTAGACCGTTCAATGGACCCATAAGAGCGGCTTTTGATATGAAAGACCTATTTGTTGGGAAATACATTCATAATGGCCTTACACCAGTCTTCAGATTTTTGGGCCTAACTAAAACATGTGGGCTCAACCAAATGATTAATAGCAATAGTAAGATGAGCATACTTAAGATTAGGTTTACAAATACCTGCCTTAGCATGTGTGAGCATATGATAAGAATCATAATCACAATTGTTCATTTGAGAAATTGAGGCAAGGGGGAAATAATGGGAGAAGGATGGGCTGATGTCCTCCACGTTTCAGATTATATATATATATATATATATATTGGCCTACAAAGGTATTTTGGTAATTTTCACACATAGGGTTATTTTGGTCATTTTGGCCCAAAATTCAAAAACAATTTCCTATGTGTTCGTTGAGTTGACTACTATCGTCCTACCTAAGAATTATAATGGTCTCACTTCAATTTCTTAAATGTCCTTTGAAAAATTCACAAAATGTTACGTAAGGGCATTTTTATCCAACTTGAAATTACACACTTAATCCAATAGTCTTGATAAAATACCCATAATCATTCTTCACTATAATATTATTTTTCATTGAAATATAAATGTCCACCTTGATGACTCTTGGTCAATATACAAGTATTACATTTGAAGTTGTAGTCCTTGAAACTTGAGAATAAATCTAGTATAAGATGCTTCAGATAACTAAAAGATAGATGTTCTAATTGACAGTGCTGTGGGAGTATATATTTTCGTCTCCAATCAGGACACGCCACGTGGAAAAGAAGATTATCTCTTAAATTAATTAATTGAACTAGTTTATCTAGCCAATTAATTAATTGGGATAAATATCTTAATTAATGGGATATTATCTTTATTTAATAAGATAATACCATTAATTTAGATATTATAAGAGAAGATAATCTCATTTATTCAGATATTATCTTCATAAAAAGAGATAATATCATTTAATTAAGATATTATCTTCAATAAAGAGAAGATAATATCTTCAATAAAGAGAAGATAATATCATTAAATTAGATATTATCTAAGTTCGACTCGATCCCTACGAATTTGGGTAGAGAATAAACTCAGCATATTCTCTACGAAATCCTAGCCCCGAGGCTCCTATAAATAGACGACCTCATTTATCATTCAAGGTACATCTAAACCTACTCCTAAACCCGAAAAAAATACCTGAAGCTTTCTCTCCCTCTCCACTCTCCATATTTTCTCCACACGGCTCCGGCCACCACACACAGCTCCAGCCGCTCGGTTCACACCATACATACAACTCCGTACCCTTTGCCTAGCTATTGTTTTCCTACAAACACTTGAACTAACTTAGGCATCGAAGGGCCTTTGGCCAACACCCCCCCGGGTGTGGTCTATTTACTCCAGTCTTTTTTATAGGAAACGAGGAAGAGAGAGAAGGAAGATCGAAGGTTGAAGGATCTAGAAGCGAATATTCTCCCGCGAGATTATTTGCACTAACATTTGGTGCTTTCATTGAGAGCACGAGTTATACTCAGCGAGTGCTTAAGGAATCCGTTCCTCTTATTTTCCAATCCACCGAAGCCTTCCAAACAACCATGGTTGGAAGCAAGCACACAAGGAGAAAAACGGCATGGATGGATCAATCCGTGACAACCCAAAGCTACTCCTTTACAATCCCACGATCAACATGGTGGCTTCACCGCCTCTCGCCGCTGTGAACCCGCAACAAACCTTAGCTGCCGCACCACACATCCACCCAGTGTGACTGGAACCAACCGCGCTGGCTTCTACCGTCGTCGTACCATCTCAAGGTCCCATGGCCGGATCTAGCCACCTTCATAACATCGCCGTCGAGCATGGTGGAACCTCTCATCAAGGCGGGCTCACTACCATCGGTGACTTTGGCCCAATCTTAGAGCAACTTCAAGCATTCCCTTCATTGCCCTCATGCTCGACGCACGCTCCCGCATACACATCCAATGAAACCCTAGCCCGTGTGCAATTGGGCTCCACACATTTCTCTCCTTCCGATCCATGAAGTCAAGAAGACCTTAATCTAAGAGTTGACCAGCTAACTCAGAGAATGGACGACCAAAATAGTTTGATGAAGCAGCTCCTCAACCAAATAAACTTGGCTCAAAACCTTGGCCTTGGACAATAGGGCGAAGAAAGAAGGATGCACGAATGCGCCGATAGGCAGTTCGATCCGAGCAGGTCGAGCACGAGTAAGCAGACAAAGAGATGCACAATAAAGTGATCAGCTTGCCGACATATCGCAAGCATCAGCAAGCCACACTCAGAGCAGACGAAGTCTCCCATCCACATTGAATTTAAGGAACAACGTGCGCGATAGGCTGGGCCCAAGATCCGACATCCACGCTCCCTTAGGTTCGTAGGGAAATGTTCATGAAAGGCTAGGCTCCTAGGGACGTCAAACTGACAACCATCACAATGAGGATTGTGAAGAAAGGCACTCCGCTGCACGCTCACAGAGAAATATTCACGAAAGGCTAGGCCCCAGGGAGGTCAACTTGATAACCCTCACAATGAAGACCATGAAGAAAGGCGCTCTGCTACTTGTTCTCGAAGAACCAATTCTCGTCGCCAAGTTATAAAAAATCCCTAGCAAGTGCAATCCACCAACACGTCGCGTAGGCAGCGCAGCCAAGAAGGTCGACCATTGCAAACCAACGAGGAAGTTACTCAGTCTCGCCCAAATCGTAAAGGTCATTGAAGTGACCGACCAGCCATGTGTGCGGAAGACGTTGAGAAGCTTGTGAATAACCGACTTCGAGACTTAAAGATTGACGGAAACTTCGAAGATACACTGCGTGTTAAGGTAGACCGAGCAAACTCCTCACCTTTCACCGTCGAAATCGAGCAGGCTGCTCCCTCGAAATGATTCTTAAAGCTTTCTTTTACATGCTTGAAAGGCGATTCCGATCCCGAAAGCCATCTGAAGCATTTCAAGAGCCTTATGATCCTCTACAAAGCCGAAGACGCGCTAATGTGCAAGGTGCTTACAATGACTTTGCAATGAGCAGCTCAAGACTGGTTCCATACCCTGTCATCCGGGTCGACCAGCAGCTTCAATGAGCTTACTTACGTCTTCACTAAAGAATACACTTCTTATCGGACAATCAAGAAGAACCCTGACCACCTGTACAACCTGTGCAAGAAGCCCGACGAATCCTTTCGAGATTACATCAAGATATTCAATGTAGAAAAGGCCAACATCGTAGGATGTGATGACCTAATCGCATCATCTGCATTCAAGAAAGGTCTTCTAGCAAAACACGACTTATACCGTGAGCTGACTATCATTCCCAACAAGACTCTGGCAGAGGTCTTTGCGACTGCAGAAAGCTACGCGCTCTGGGATGACGATCGAATCGCTGCGAAGAAGTCTACTGAGTAGGAAGATCAGCCGACCAAGCAGGCAGACCAAAGAAGCGATAAGCTTGGCAGCAGGGACAAAGACAAACGCAAGCCGAGCCCACAAAAGGATGCTACGACAAAAGAGAACTGCACCAAGTTCTCCATCCCTATACATCAAATTTTAGCCCAAACGAAGGACAAACCTTGAGTAAAAAGACCGCCACCCTTGAAAGGAGATCCGGACAAGAGGGATACCAGGAAGTATTGTGCCTTCCATGCGACACACGGACACAATACGAATAATTGCTTTGCTTGGAAAGCACACCTCGAAGAACTCGTGAAAGCTGGTCATTGCACGGAGTTCATCGCGAAGCAGGCCATCTAGCAGATAGAAGACCGCGATACCGCCAAGGAACCACCCCAGAAGGTCATAAGGATTAACACAATCGTAGCCGACTCCGAGAGGTCCGGACTGACCAACAAAGAAAAGAAGAGAAAGATCAAACATGCCACCATGATCTCCCACAGCACCGTCAATTAGAAGACGATGTTGTGATCGTCTCCATTAGTCTCCCAGTGGCAGAAGACGATGTTGTGATCGGCTTCCAGAGGAAAGATCTAATCGGCCTCGATCTACCACACAATGACGCCCTTGTCATCAGCATTCAAATTGCTCAGGCCATGGTCGACCGAATCCATGCAGACGAGGGCAGTGTAGCCAACCTCATACAATTGACAGTTATCCAACAGATGGGCTTATAGACAAAGATTAATAAATCAGCTAAGTCGTTGACTGGTTTCAATGGCGTAACAACGGTTACCGTGGGCACGATAGATCTCGATGTCTACTCCCCACCTAAAATCAGCTCGCAAATGTTCATGATCATTGATGAAGTCTCACCCTACAATGGCATTCTAGGCAGACCATGGATCGGCAAGATCAACGTCATCACCTCTGCTACACATCAGAAGATTCACTACCCAATCCTTGAGGGTGGTATCGGCTAGATCAACAGCGATCAAGCAATGGTGAGGAAATGCTCAGCTCAAGGGCTAAAGAAAGGCAAGCAAATACAGTTCCTCCTTATGAATCAGGCAGATCTAAAGGGAGTAGAACAAGCAGAGGAGAAAGCAAATCCCGTTCCTGGCGGCTGAGCAGACCAGAAAGGAAAGGGAATAACTACTCCCCAATAGCAATCAAAGAATAAGACCAAGTTGAGGGAATCCGTCCAGAGGTCTCTCCTGAAGAATGATGGAAGTCCGAGGAGGACGTTGAGCTAGTACCCCTTGATCCTGACAAGCCAGAAAAAAAAAATCCAAATCGGCTCGCGCCTAAGCCAGGAGGAA